GAATTACACTTTAGAACAGACCAGAAGGAAAGAGAAGTAATATTTAGGTGGTGCTTTTAATGCTAGGGTTTCTACATGGGTCTATCCATACACATTACATTTCGCTATGAGTAGAAAGGAATTACTTCATCTTCAGTCATATGTAATTTTGGTTTTGTTTGTTTGGAGACATGGGCTCACTCGGGCCCGTGTAGCTCAGGCTGGCCTTGAACTCAAAGAGATCAGCCTGTCTCTGCCTCCCCAATGCTGAGATTAAAGACGCACACCACCAGCCCAGCCTGCATAGTTCTTTTGGTTTTTGTTTTCTTTTTATTGAGTCAGATTCTCACTTCGTAGACCTGGCTGGCCTGGATCTCGCTATGTATGCCAAGGCTGGCTTTGAACTTGTAGTAATCTGCCTCTGCCTCCTGAATGCTGGGATTACAGGTGTGCATCATCCTGCCCCACTTACAGTTTCTTTTTCATTCAGTGAAAAGATTATAGCTTGCCTGATGTGGTATGTTCTTTCACTGACAAGATCTGGCTGTGCATAGCCCAAGTGGTCAAACTCATCATTTCACATTGCTAGCAAGTGGAAGTGATTAAAGACCTCTACTAGGGACATTGGATTTGCCACCTTAATCAGCCTTAAAACTATGCAGACATGCCTTTGGGGCTTTAGCTCAGTGGTATTGTACTTGCCTACTGTTCTAGTCTGCCTTCAGTTGCTGTGACAAAAAACACTCTGACCAATATCACCTTGGGGAGGAAAGGGTTTATTCAGCTTACATCTCCCAGGTCACAGTTAATCACTGAGGGAGCACAAGGTAGGAACTTGGGACTGGAACCTGGAAGCAGGAGCTGAAACACGGGCCATGGAGGAACCCTGCTTACTGGCTTACGCCCTTGGCTTGCTCCCTTGGCCTATGCTCAGCCTGCTTTCTTTCTTCCTTCATTTTTCTTTTTTCTTTTTTTTTTTTCTTTTTTGTCTTTTTGAGGCAGGGTCTCCCTGTAGCCCCAGCTGGCCTGAAACTCGCTATGTAGACCTGGCTGGCCTTGAACTCCCAGAGATCCGGCTGCCTCTGCCTCCTAAGTGCTGGGATTAAAGGCATGCCACGTCCGGATTCAGCCTGTTACTTTCTTTTTTTAATTTTATTTATTATTTTTATTTTACGTGTATGTGTGTATTGCCTGCCTGTAGGTAAGTGCACCCGTGTCGTGCAATGCCTGCAGGGGTCAGAAGAGGCTGTCAGATCCCCTGGGACTGGAGTTACGGACAGTTGTTAGCGACCATGTGGGTGCTGGGATTCGAACCTGGGTCTTCTGCAAGAACAACCAGTGTTCTTAACCACTGAGCCATCTCTTCAGCCCCCAGCCTGCTTTCTTATACAACACAGAACAACTTGTCCAGGGATGGCACTGCCCGCCATGGACTGCACCCTCCCACATCACTCAACAATCAAGAAAATACCCCACCGACATGGCCACAGACCAGTCCAATGGAGGCAATTCCCCAATTGAGGCTCCCCTACTCAGGTGTGTCAAGTTGACAACTAAAGCTATCCAGCACATCTACTATGTGCAGTGCCCAAGATTTGAGCCCAAGCACTAAAGAAGGAAAAAAATCCATATAATAGCCAGGCATGAAGAAACCATGCCTATAATCCCAGCACTCAAGGCCAGCATGAGCTATGTAGTAAGGCTCTATGTGAAGAAAACAAGGGGCAGGGATGTTAGCCTGTAGCACTTCCCTTTCTCAAGGGCCTGGGATCAATCTGTAGCACTGGGAAAAGGAAAAACAGTGGCCCCCAAACACTATGCAGATGTAGATGATTGGGAGTCCTGATGAGGTGAGTTAGAACCTGCTGAGTAGTTTCTGCCTTGCCTGTGATTCACTGGGTAGGTTTTATTGACTTCTTTCATAGCTTTGTGCTTTGTGTTTCAGGTTGTCTCATCTCAAAACCTGGGCTGGTCTCCCTGTAGCCCCAGCTGGCCTGTAACTCACTATGTAGACCAGACTGGCCTCCATCTCGTAAAGATCCTCCCGCCTCTGCCTCCTGAGTGCTGGGATTAAAAGGTGTATGCTTGACAAAAAACTGGACTTTATATTTTGTGAAAACATACAGAGATTAATGTCTCTTAAGTGTTTTGAGTTTATAAAGGTTTTAGCTTTTGGCCAGGAGTATGGTGGCTGGTGGCACAGACCTTTGATCCTAGCACAGAACTCTAGAGGCGAATCTGTGATTTCCAGGCCAGCCTGGTCTACATAGTGAGTTCCTTATAATGCCTAGTGCCTAGAACATAATCTGCTATTACTGCATGTATATGTGAATGTGACTACAGCTGTCATAAGTTTGAATGATGAATGGTGTTATAGTTGTAAATTTAGTTGCCTATTTGCTGTCTAGCTTCCCCTAGTAACAGGAATGTCAGCAAAGCAGGAACTTCACTTATACTATAAAATAAGTATTCTGTAGCTAAAGTTTAGAATAATGCCGAGCAACAGATGCATTCATTTGCCAACCACTGCTTACTAGAAATGCTTTGTGTATTGCAGCTTAGTTTGGAAATAATTTCCTGTGTTAATAATTTAATTGTGACAATCTAATATTGTCACAAGCAGTTACCTCTCTAAATAAGACAGTTAAGTGTAGGGACCTTTGAAGTCACTATATTGGGGGCTGGAGAGATGTCCTAGCAGTTACGAGCACATATTTCACTGGACATGGTGACATACACCTTTAATCCCAGCACTCAGGAGGCAGAAGCAGGTGAATCTGTGACTTGGGGGCCAGCGTGGTCTACGTAGGGAGTTCTAGGCCAGCCAGGCCCACATAGTGAGATCCTGTCTCAAAAAATAAAGATAACACATACTATTTTTGCAGAGAACTGGAGTTCAGTTCCCAGCACCAGCGTGGAGTGACTCACAACCTGCCTATAACTCTAGCTCCATGGGGATCCAATGCCTCTGGGCCTCCATAGGCACCTACACTCAAATGCACATACCACCTACACAACAGACACACATACATGTAACTAAAAATAATAAAAATCTTTAAAGTCAGCATATTGAAGTATTGTGGTAAGTGGTAGTCAGAGCTGGGCCTCAGATCTTCCTGCCAGAGTTCAGTGGGTTTCACAGTGTGTCAAAGGACTGGCCCATAAAATGTACTACACAGATAATTTTCAGTTACCTGTGTTACTGTTTCTGGAGTTTTTAGGGTAAAAGCCTTGACTCTGGCAGCCCCATCAAGCTAGGATCAGCCACCTATCCATAGTACACCATTAAAGATACAGGTGACAGTAAAACACAGAGAAAGGCTTACTCAGTATGGCTTTTACACTGGGGAGAAGAACTTAAGGGCCTAATGACCCCACCACCTCAAGTCCATCTTAGGGTACTAACAATAGGTTTAGGTTTAATTAAAGGGCAGGAGGTATATGAACTAAGCAGTCCTGGTCAAGATGTGATTCCCACCCATTATTGACCTATCTCTGTCCTACGTTGGTTCTGCTCTGCCCAGAAAAGTGGGCAGATAAGTTGTCACAGCTGTGTGAAATCTCTTTCTGGGAGGCAAGTTCCTCCTCTGGCTGGCACCGGTATTTCAGCATTTACCTTTCTATGCATGGGATTCCTGGGGGAAATTTTAATTATTTGGAAGAAGGGTACAAGTGTCTTGAGAATATCTCTCCTGTTCAGGGCATTTACCTTATAACTGGTATTTTTATCTTTTTTATTACTACTAAATTTTTATTCCTGAAGTTGTAATAGCATATAAACAAAACCTGCCTTATTTGCATATATGCATAAGAAAGAGTTGAAAAATAAGCTTTAAAATAAAACAAGGAAGCCAGATGTGGTGACTCACATCTGTAACTCCAGCATTTGGGAAGCTAAGGAGGATTGTTCTGACTTCCAGGCTAGCCATTACAAGAGTAAGAACCCCATCTCAAAACAGGGGGTAGGGGGAGGCTGGAGAGATAGCTAGCAATTAAGAGCACTGGCTACTCTTGTAGAGGACCTGGGTTCTGTTCCCAGCACCCACAGAGTGGCTCACAATCTTCCATAACTCCAGTTCCAGGGAGATCCAGCACCCTCTTCTGTGCAGGTAGTGTTCTTACATATATGCAGGCAAAACACTGATACACATAAAATAAAAATAAGTTTTTTAGAAAATGATACGGTTCTATGTTAAATGAAAGCAGTATGCTGCTTTGCTTAGCTGGTTTACTTACTTGGAGAAGGACATGATAGAAATGAGAGAGAGAGCAAGACCTCTGAGGCAATTGTCTTACTACTAATATACATCTCCATTTCTTTCATTAATTTTTAGTTGCCATCAGAGTCCAGGATAAGGGACTGGAGGGATGGCTCAGCAGTAAGAGCAGTTACTGCTCTTGCAGAGGATCCAGATTCAGTTCCCAGCACCTGCATCAGGCAGCTCATAACTGCCTATAACTCCAGTTCCAGAAGTTCCAGTGCCCTCTTCAGAGTACATACACACACATGGTGCACATAAACTCAATCAGGCATGTACACATAAGTAAAAATATATAATTAAAGAGAATCCAGTATGTATGACACCAAACTTTGCTGTGACAGTTGTATTCACATCAGCTGGATTTATGGGAACTTTGGAGATTGCTGAACAATCTGCTTGTACTTTGGCTCAAGAATCCATCTTAAAATAGAATGTCAGGATTTGAATAAGTCCATTCTAAATACTGATGATTTTAGAAGTCATAATGCTGCATGATCATTCATGAACTAATGCCTGCATCTCCATTAAAGCAGACTGCTGTTCACATCTGATAAGGATGCATGATAGCATACTTTACCTGCTAGAAGGCCCCAGGTGAACTGATTTTAAGTGGAACTTGCATTTCTTTCTAGGCCGTTCAGCATTCCACTGGGGTCTGCCTCCTGTGCTGGAACTTCATTCCCATCTTAAGGACTGGGTTATGTAAAATGCTGGCGTGAGCTCACACTTTGGGATTCTAAGATTTGTTTGTTGTGCTAGATCTCCAGCTTGCTGCTGAGCTTGGGAAGACATTACTGGATCGGAACACAGAGTTGGAGGAGTCTCTTCAGCAGATGTACACAACCAATCAGGAGCAGTTACAGGAAATTGAGGTAATTCATTTATCAGAAGAGTTCCATCCTCTCTGACATGTGGCATTTTGCGGTGGATTAGTCATGTACTGCTAAAACAACTCTTGCAACTAGAAACAGTGTTTAATTGTCAAGTAGACTTTCTTGAGAATTAGAACCATCAGAGGTGATGTATGTTTTCTTTAGGTTTTCCTAGTATGTAAATCTGCTGTGATGAAAGAAGTTTTTCTAAGTATATAAGAAGTAAATGGTTTACTACTATTTGCCAGTATATGAAGCAAAATGAAACTGTACTTAAGTTTTCAAGATTTTTTTTTAATGGATTACTAAACCAGATGTGTTGATGCATACCTTTAATCCCAGCACTTGGGAAACAGAGGCAGGTGGATCTCTGTGAGTTTGAGACCAGCCTGGTCTATATTGTGACTTCCAGGGCAGCCAGTGCTACCTAGTGAGACCCTGTCTTAGAGAAAGAAAGACAAAAGAGAAAGATACAAAGAAAGAAATTATGCAATATGTAAGGTATACAGAAAGGCATGGGAGTATAGTACAGTGAACACACACTCGTACATTACCCCACTGCTCAGTTATAAGAACTACCCACACGGTTGCCCGTTCCTTGGTGCCATCTGCCTCCAGCTACTAAATTTGGAGTTAGGTAAGATGGAGTTAGGTAAGAAGTTGGGTTTTTTGTTTGTTTTTTCTTTAATGTAGTGCCTGGGGCTGGAGAGATGAGTCAGCAGTTAAGAGCATTGGCTGCTCTTGCAGAGGACCTGGGTTCAGTTCCCAGTACCCACATGGTGGCTAACAACAGTTTAACTCCAGTTCCAGGGGACCTGACACCCTCTTCTGACCTCTGCCAGCATTGCATGACACAGGTGTACTAACACACATGCAAGCATAACACTCATACACATAAAATAAAGTGCCTGATTTCATAATGTGTTTAAACTTCTTGTGCCATTGAAAGAATTAAGAGTAAAATCCTTGTTTCTGTCTTGTTGCTATAGCCATTCATTTGTTTATTTATTTGAGTCAGGAAGTCTTGTTCTGTAGCCCAGGTTGGCTCCATACTTGGAGTCCTCCTGCCTTAGCCTCCCAAGTGCTGCCTCCTTGCTGTGATCTGGATTTATTTATATTTTTAGCAGATTTTTTTCTTACTGAACGATTATATTTTGCCAAGTTTAACAAACTAAAATGAAACTATTGTGACTCTGGTTTACTGGCTCATAAATCTGAGCATCACAGAATTCACTATTTTACTCTTTATTCGTAGCTGGGTTTGTCTAAAATGATGACTGCCTTAGAGTGCTGCATTGCCATTATAGGTGCCTTCCTTTGTTCTTACTAGAAATTGTTTTGTAAAAACGAACAGATTGGGACAAAACAGGGAGATGTGATGGTAGTACTAGCTGAGCCCACTCTAGTCTGCAGACTCCACAGGCCTGCCTGCCTTCCTGCTCAGTCACATCTGTACCTAGGCAGATTTAGAAACTGCAACATAGACTTCTTAGGTCTCCCTTCACCGATCTGAAACAAAGAACGCTCTTGTAAGTAAACAGGCATCCAAAAGAAGAGTACCTTTAATTTACAAATTAAAGATGACCGTTGTGTTATGAACCTGTCATCACTGCAATTTTCAAGAGTCCTTTCTCATCCCAAATTTTACAAGGGCTATTTTCTTAATTTAAACTTCACTCTTTGCCAATACTCTTTATTAAAATATACCTACAGAAAACAGCACAAAAGTAGCATAAATCCTAAGTGTCTCACTAATTAATTTTTATGAAGTAAACATACCCATGCAGCCAGAACTCAGATAAGGTGGAAACACTTATCAGCTCATCCAGTCACCACCCCAGTAACCAGCATTCTAGCCTGGACTCCCTAGATTAGTCTGTTTTTGAACTTTACATGAATGGAATAACTTATACAGGTTTTAAGCTTATTTTTTTCTTCAGTCTCATTTGCTGTTGGCAGTTGCTTAGGATGCCTGGCATTGCACGTGCTAAACACACGCTCTACCACTGAGCTATACCCCTCAAGCCCTAAACTAACTCCATATAGTGTTTATTGACATTCTCCTCACTAGACAAATATTTAAAACATCGGTTTATTTGTTTATTATTGGGTTTGTTGTTGTTTTTGACAGGATCTGATCTTCCTGTACCCCAGCTGGTCTGGAACTTGCTATGTAGATCGGGCTGGCCTTCCATCTCACAGACAGCTGACTGCCTCCAGAGTGCTGGAATTAAAGGCATGTGCCATCACGCTCTGCTTCAGTTTATTTATTTATTTTTTTATTTTTATTTTTTTTGGTATTTCTCAGACAGGGCCTCCTAGTAGCCCCAGCTGGCCTGGAACTCGCTATGTAGACCAGGCTGTCCTTGAACTCACAGAGATCCGGGTGCCTCTGCCTCCAGAGTGCTGGGATTAAAGGCACGTGCCACCACGCCTGGCTTTCAGTTTATTTTTTTTAATTTAGAAAAGTAGTATAATTGAGGGGCTGGAGAGATGGCTCAGCAGTTAAGAGTACTGGCTGCTCTTGCAGAGGGCCCAGATTCAGTTCCCAGCACCTACATGGCAGCTAACAACTGTCTGTAATTCCATTCCAGCAGATTGGATGCCCTCTTCTAACCTTTGCGGGCATTGTATGACATGGGTGCTCTTACACACATGCAGGCAATACAGTCATAAAAAGTAAAGTAAAAATAAAATAAAAGGTAATATAGTTGAAAACCAAAAGTCAGCTCTTATCCCAACACCCAGAAAAATTTTAAATGAGTTTAAAAATGTCCTCAAACAGTCTAGTCAGCGTACATGATTGTTGGCAAATTGTTGAAAATACTGGGATAAAAATCCCTAAAACTCTGACTTACTATGAAAGCTGCTAAAGAATATTTTATATGCTACCACAAGTATTCTTTCAAAGGCTATTAGGTGATTTCAAACAATTTTCATAAAAGATGATCAGTGTTAAGGGTTTTTTTTTTTGTTTTTTTTTTTGTTTTTTTTGTCTTTTTGAAACAGGGTTTCCCTGTAGCCCCAGCTGGCCTGGAACTCTGTAGACCAGGCTGGCCTCAGACTCACAGAGATCCACCTGCCTCTGCCTCCTTAGTGCTGGGATTAAAGGCGTGTACCACCACACCTAGCTATAGGCATTATTTTTAATGTTTAAAAAAAGGTTAAGGGCTGACAAGATCAAGTAAACATACCTGCCACCAAGCCTGAGGACCTGAATTTGACCCCTGAGATCCTCATGGTGGAAGGAGAGAACTGACTCCTAAAAGTTGTCCTCTGACTACCACACTCCTGCTATCTCTCTCTCTCTCTCTCTCTCTCTCTCTCTCTCTCTCTCTCTCACACACACACACACACACACACACAATGTAATTTAATATTTTTTTTAAGTTTTAAATAATAGAGCTGGAGAAATGACTCAGAAGTTGAGTACAGGCTGCTTTTCCAGAGGACCTGGGTGGTTTGGTTCCCCGCACCCACTAGCAGCTAACACCTGCCCTTAACTCCAGTTTCCAGGGGATCCAGGTTTTCCTCTGACCTCTCCAGGCACCAGGCATGTACATGATGCACTTACACATAAAATAAAATTCTTATTTTAAAAAAATAAGCTATTGAAAGTGATGATTTTATTGGCTTCAAAGAAGCCTGTAGCTTGTCTGAATTTTATTCAGTGTTGACAAGATCTCTCTCTCTCTCTCTCTCTCTCTCTCTCTCTCTCTCTCTCT